AGGCAGTCAAATAAAGTTGTCACGTGTGCAAACATGCAAATTTATTTTATATTTCAGCAAACAGGACGAATATTCAAAAGCGAGCAAAATGTTTAAAAATCTTGTACAACATGTCCACATTTTGCCAACAACTTGATTGAGTTGTCTCTGTTTGGTTGTAGAGGGTTATAGCAGACAAAAACGTACTCTTATACCTCCACGATCCGACTCTATGGAATGTAGGGTGTGCAATAGATACTACTGACTCTATAGTAGATATTACTGACTCTATAGTATATATTACTGACTCTAGATACTACTGACTATTGCGTGTATGGTGTGTAGGCATATACGACTGACTTGTATATAGGGTGTGTAGGTGTAGGGCATATATGCCTACAAAAGACATTTCTTTTCTTTTTTGGGGGGGGGGGGGGTCGACAATTGTTGTACACCTGGTGGATCAACTTATTACTCCTTAATCTGGGGGGGGGGGGGGGGGTGGTCCACTTTCTATAACTATTTCATTCAAGCCTTCTGAAAGGCTTTCGTAATTTAGTTGATGGACAAATGGAATGCCAGGCTTTTATAATACATATTAGAATGTGCGTTCAACGTCTATAAATATTCCTGCTCTCAACCTTTTTCCATGCCAGAAATTTGATTTAAAATAAAAAGTCCATCTCTCTTGCATAATAATAAAAAAACAATATTCTTACAGTCCGTCAGTCTGCGGCTCTTTTCCGGAGTAATATTTCATAACAACATTTGTTTAGGCAAGCAGTTTCTGGAAAGCCCATAGGCAGATACAAAATAAATAAATACATAATTTGTGTATGCAGAAATCTTGACTTAAAGCTTTTGTGACTGCCGGAATTCATATTCTTTGGGTCTTTCGGTAAAGTCACGTAGATAGATTTCGATTTAAAGCTTTCGTGACTGCAGGGATTCATCTTCTTGGTTCTTTCGGTAAAGTCACGTAGAAGGGAAATAATAAAATAATAAAAATGAAACATAATAAAATAATATAATATTTTATTATGTTTTATTTTTATTATTTTATTATTTCACGTAGATAGGTTCAAAGAAAATAACAAAAAACTACGACGTTTCGATCGCAACACAAGTGTCTGTCATCAGGTAAAGGGGGTTAGCTTCTCAAGGCAAACTGTTTATAAAGGTTTGAAATGGGCGTAGCCCAAGTGTCAGCAGCATGGGCGGGGCAGCTGATGCTAATGTGAGTGACGTACACGTAGAGGGCAACGACGGCGCTGGTGGTGGGTTTCCACCAATGAAACTGCTGCCAAGTAATCATTGCACCTCGCTTTACACACTCACAATGTTGACGGTGGAGGTTGCTGCTAGAGGTGATGGTACTCGAAGAGGCCCACGACGGCACTGGTGGTGAGCTTCCACGAATAAAGGGCTATGCTAGTGGTGATGGTAGTAGTGGGCAGTGATGGTCCCGGTGGTGAGCAATTTAACACAGTACATCAAATTCGTGATCTGATCCCATCTGTGAAGGATGTGATCCCTGACATGCAATACCCCGGCGTCTACAAACTAAGCTGTGTCTGCGGCAGTAGTTACATTGGGGAAACTAAGCGGCATGTCTCGGACCGTGTTCGTGAACATAAGACAGATCTGAAACACGGTAGGACCAATACCTCGGCCGTGGCTGATCATTGTTTTAATGCGGTGGGCTCACACGAAATTGATTTCTCTAAGACGAAGGTACTTTGCAAACCCACTGGCTATCAACAAAGATTCGTTCATGAAGCCATCCATATATACAGACATAGACACAATTTCAACCGATAAGATGGGTACAATCTCAGCAATCACTGGAAGGATGTTATCAACCAGTTTATGTCATGACTGGCTCTAATGTTTCCATTTTAGACATGGCATCCCTTTAATTTAATCGGTGGAAGCTCACCAACGGGACCATCATTGCCCACTACTACCATCACCACTAGCCGTAGCACTTTATTGGTGGAAGCCCACTACCAGAGCTGTAGTCACCCTCTACGAGTACCATCACTGACATTAGCATGAGCTGCCCCGCCCATGCTGATGACACTTGGGCTACGCCCATTTCAAACCTTTATAAACAGTTTGCCTTTAGAGGCTAACCCCTTTTTCCTGATGACGGCCGCTTGTGTTGCGATCGAAACGTCGTAGTTTTTTGTTATTTTCTTCGATCCCATCTCCATGACTTTACCGAAAGACCCAAAGAATACAGAGATATGCACTTTTGTCTGTTTTTTTGTGATCCAATGTGCTCTGTAATATCACTTTGTACACTTTATGATAACGTTTTATTTTTACATTGTCTTATTTGACCCACCGCTTTGATCCACTGCGCTAGATGTAGCCTTTCAGCACAATATCTATGCAAACCACAAATGATAAAGTCTTACACTCATTATTCGATGCGCGCCATGAGGAGGAAATATTTATTTTGAACCAGTCACTGAATCGTGACATGAGTTATTTTAAAACATGTTACTTTGTGTGCACAAGAATAAATTGGAGGTAAAGGCCAGAAACGACATTCCTGTAACAAGCAGAAGAAAAAAGCCTTGATTATTAGCTTGCCGTTGTGCCCGTATGCTTGGAATTACATTGAGAAACAGAAATGAAAAAAAACGTCAGTTTTAACGATTTCACTAATACTGGATATAAAAGTCGGTGGGCATGGGCAGGATCTGGTCACTGGAAGGGGATGCTGGCCGATGATTAAGAATAGTGACAGAGTGACAGCCAGGGAAACAAAATGCCTCCTGAACGGAACGCGCTCCACGGAGGAGATGGAGCGATGAGGTCGGTTCGTGGTGCGGCCGTCGGTGGATTGTTGCATCAAAATGGGTTTGTGAGAAGGCAGAGGCCTGGGGACGCTTTCAAGCCGGTAGTGAAATGAGCAAGGCTGTTGCTGATGATGATAACGAGGTTGTGTCGGCTAACCCGTTACCGTATGTAAGCTTAACGTGCCAACACCATGGTAAACATTGTGTTTGCTCTCGTGTGTATCCAGAAAACACGCCGTATGAATCCCCATTAATTTACAGGAATTCTCATTTTTTTATCGTCGAGCAAAAGGAAAGCAAATTGCAGCGGGTGTCTTGGGGGAGACATTGAGCATCTGGCGTTATCGTAATAAAGTACAGGCATCTTCTTGGTTCTTTCGGTAAAGTCACGTAGAAGGAAAATAATAAAATAATAAAAATAAAACATAATAAAATAATTATCACGACATTTCGGCCACAACGCAAGCAGCCGTCCTCAGGTGAAGAACAGTCTGTCGGGAAGACAGCATCTGACAGACCTGTTCTTCACCTGAGGACGGCTGCTTGCGTTGTGGCCGAAACGTTGTGAGAATTATTTTATTATGTTTTATTATTATTTTATTATTTCCCTTCTACGTGACTTTACCGAAAGAACCAAGAAGATGAATCCCTGCAGTAACGAAAGCTTTAAATCGAAAAAGTACAGGCATTCAAGCAAAACACGCTGGTAGTTGCAAAGGCTCCCGTCACGTGGAGTGAAACGTCGGACATGAGTTTAGTTGATTGGTTTATTCATCAACTATACACATCGGAGAGCCGTACAGCGTAGCTGTAGAAACCCATGCAGTGAACGTGAAGAAGGCAGTATGGGAAAACTAAGTTTAGATGCTTGATGAAATCTTCAAAGTAAAGTTTGTGGCGCGTGTTGATTGGGCCTTAATCAATCACTTCGTTACCATTCAATACAATAAATTATCTTGCAACAGGGATACGCTTCCTGTTAATGAGAGAATACCTCTGTAAATGAAAATATTTAGACTCCACTGCCTCAAAGCAAACTTCTGTCGGAATGCTAACGATTGCCAAACAATCACAAGACGTGTCGTTGACGTGAGTGGCGGAGGGGGGGGGGTTCTTTTGCTCAGTCCGTTGTTAATGTTTCACCTCATTCAAACCGGGCCCTATCGAGCACGAGTCACGCAGCACATTCGTGCAGTCGGCGCAGAACCCACTGCGTCTGGAAAGACCCATCGGAGGTGCCGCCCAGCAGCACCCGTTTTCGCTAGGCTCCTCAACTCGGCAGCGACGTTGAAGCGGCGATAATTCGACGTTGCTAAGTACACGGATAATTGTCATTTTATAACCGCTTGTGAAAGGTACGTGTGTGTGTGTGTGTTCCTGTGAGCGTCTCATCTTCGAGTTTAAATATAAACTGAATTGATCTGATTATGGTTGTCATTGTGTTGCTTTATCTCTGCTCCAGTTAAATAAAGGACATCAATCAATCAATTTGCGGTAGGAAGGATGTGGGATATGGTGCTGTGTGTGGCATTTCTCTCTCTGTGCCACCGCAACTCCTCCAAAATAATAATAACGGAAATACTATCATCGTCGTAATCATTGTCCACTGTAAATCTACTGCTGGATGAATGCCTCCCTTGTCTCTGCCATCTTTTTTACGATCTTGCGACGTAGCGCTCCACCCGGCACCTGCACACGAGCTAATTCCGTCGCTCCATCTCCGCGGGCGTCCTCTGGGGTGCCGTTCCGTTCCTTGGCCGCCACACCCGTTTGTTATTCTTGACCATCGTCCAACCTGCCTTGTTCTAGTTTCCTGCTCAAGCGCACTGATTTTTTTACTCACGTGGGTTTAACGATGCCGCTGGGCAGGCGCGCGTCCTCTCCTGCACGTGTTCCCTTCTATGTCTGGCTCGTGTCATTCCAAAACGTGGATCGCTCCACGCGTTTTCTTTCTTTTCCGTGACGCGTGCCCTCTGCTTATTTGCACAACTCTTCAGTCAGTGGGACACACACACACACAACAACAACAACCAGATTGCTCAAATATTAATCGGTCCAAGCCTTATTTCTTAAAAAAAAAAATGCACACTGTACAATGCCGTGGAAAAACGTGCGTAATTTATATAAATTATTACTATTCACCCTCTGTTGTAAAAAAAAAACGCAGGTTCCCTTGGCGCTCGAGCAAAGTGTGCGATGTTGCCTCCCCAGGTGCGTGCGGTGCGACCGCGTGAGCCCTCCCGGGGTCCCACGGTGACGTCCCTGCGCTGCCATGGAGGTAAAGGAGTTGCGTCAGTACCACTCGCTCTCGCAGAACCGTCCGGCCAAGGAGTGCCAGTACTCGATCGGCGCGCCGAGCCGCGACGACCACCACCTCCACCACCAGCAGCAGCTGCAACAGCAGCAGCAGCAGCTGCAACAGCAACAGCAGCTGCAACAGCAGCAGCAGCGCGCCGTGCAGCAGCAGCAGCAACAGCAGAGCTCGTGCGGCGAAGAGTGTCTGGGTCACCCGGGCGCCCGCGCTCGTCACCCCTACCCCCCCGCGGGGGACTCGCTCTACGAAGCCGATGCGGGGTATGGGCTCTCCTCCAGGGACCCCAACAAGTACGCCCGGCAAGGTGAGAGTCGCTCTCGTGTTACCGCGCTGACGCCGACGCAGATGCGCGTTCAGCTGCCGCCGCGACCCCGGCCGCGCTCTGACAGATGAGCTTCTCTCAGCCTTGCCGTTAACCCTCGAGTCCTCCCACCGCCCCCATTCCCCCGTCCCTCCTCGAATAATGAATTTGACGTCTTTTAACGTTGCGCCGCGGGCAATGATGTTTGGGGGGTGAATTTTAAAGGGTTGGCCTCTGCGGGGGGTTTGTTCAGGTGCCCCCACGTGGTGGAAGGTGCGTTTGCTGTGCTGCTTTAGCGGCGGTGTAGCGGTCAGTGCGCTGCGCCACGAACCCGGCGACCCGAGTTCGACTCCCGCTCACGGCCAACACCAGAATGACGATTGTCTCAACCGGTCCAGGGCCTCCCCTGGGTTGACTCAGCCTCAAATGAGTACCTGGTGCAGTCTGTAAACATCGACGTTGGGGAGACAAAGGCGGCCGGGCGTGGTGTTGGCCACTCAACCCCACGTGTGCCGTTTCCGGCCTGCATAACTGCTCGCTAACAGCACTTGCCCCAACAGTCCGTTGAAGGCTATACGGGGGATCTTTGTTTTTTTGCTTTCGCGGTGGATCTCTGGGAAGGTGCGTGCAATTAATCCTGTTACCCGTTAACATTATCTCCTTTTTTGAATTCAAGGAATTGTTGATGAGAGCGTTAACCCTTGTGTTGAGGTCAGGCCCCAATGTCCCCCACTCGCCCTTTCCCCTCCCTTTGCCCTCCTCTTTGTGGTGGCGTTTCCCAGCTTAGCTTCAGTCTCTGCATCCATTCAGAGCCTGTAGAATGATTCATTGTCGATTGGGATCATTTAAATAACAAAATGTCCTTTTTGTTGCAACAGTGCACGCATTGTTACTTTATTTTTGGGGCTTTTTTTGTAATGCTTAGAATTAAAGTCACATACGTGCATTTAGACATTTTGGGGATAATTTGTTTTCTTTATATTTGATTCAACGATTAGGGATAATGCCATTGTTCACTTGATGAAAGACCGTTTAAAACTTTCTACAGAAAAGCATCTCAATTATTTTTCAACTAAATTACGAATGTGCTGTTATTTCTTTTTTTATTTCATCAACACAAAAAAATGACACTGCTGTTTCAGTGGAGAGCCACTCTGCAATTTGCTCCTGCAGAGAAGCTCTGTTAGGTTACAAATCAACTCTGAATTATAATTATTTCCCCATTTAGTCGACCACCAGATGTATCCACCCACTCAGTTTTAAATCGTGGAGAGGACCACATGTGCGCGCGTGATTGTTGTTAAAGAATCCGGTTCTAATGTGTTCATTGCGGGGCCGGAAACCATCAGTCAGGTGTGCGTGCGTATGCATCTCAACGCCGTGGGGAGCCTTTGCGCAGTGGTTCGCACGCCGAGCTACGAACCCAGTGACACGAGTTAGATTCCCGCTCACGACCAACACCGGTGATGGTTATCTGCTGAACCGGTCCTGGGGGATCTCCCCTAGGTCGACTCAGCCTCAAATGAATACCCGATGCGGTGGGTAAAACATCGCCACTGGTGAGTGGCGATTTGGTGCTGGTCACGCACTCCATCGTGTGCCGTGCCGGCCTTCATAGGTGCTCGCTAACAGAAACTTCCCCTTACAGTCTGTTAGGGCTATACCGAGGGTGGGGGGATCTTTGTCTTTGCTCTTAATGCCACACCGCCCACGTGTAAGATCTCAGAGCGTCTTTAAAGCCGCTCGACTACAGCACGGACCGAGCAGAGTGTTCGACTCGCTTGTGCAAGGCGATCCCCAGGAATGGTTTTACTGCTTCTCAGCTCGTGATGGAGTTGCGATGGGGCTTTGCAGAAGATTTTTATGGCCGAGCAATCTGGGCGTCCTCTGCATTTCCTTACCAGTGCTGACTTCCGCTATCAATGGAAAGCTCCAGCTTACCACCTGCCCGTCCGCTTTGCTTTTACTGGGTAAAAAAAAACCACGTGCAACATTAAAGACATCGCGTCAACAGCTCGGGCGAAAGGTGCCAGGGCAGATCCTCATGTCGCAATTTTTGAGAGATGGATTGTGTTGTGGCCGAAACGTCGTGAGAATTTTTATTTTAATGTTTTATTCTATTATTTTATTATTTCCCTTCTACGTGACTTTACCGAAAGAACCAAGAAGATGTAGATGGCTTCGGGGTGGGAATCATTCAGCAGTGGATTGATCATGGCTGCTGCTACCGATGATGATAATGACTGGCTTGCGGTGCAAAGACAAAGATTCCGCATGGAGCCATACACACTGACTAAGCAGTGGTTCTTAACCTGGGCTGCACGCACGCCCTGTGGATGCGAGATGCCCTTTCTGGAGGTGCGAGACCATATCAGCTTCTCACTTGCAAGGCTGAGTTGACCTATGGGAGACCCAGAACAAGTTTCTGATGCCACTTGCCACTCGTGGTGACCAGGAATTGAACTTGGATTCCACTGCTCCGCATAACAGACAAAAGACCCCCTCCCATTATTCAGTCGTGTGAATTCACGCACTGCCCCTTGGCTCATTGCCAAACAAATCGAACGAGAGAAACACCTCCGTTCACGTCACAGCAACTTGTCACCAAGGCGCGTCTCTTTGTTATGAGAATAGATTGGAGCATAATCCGGTGATTAATTCAAGCCGCAGATAAGATGACACGGTGATCTACTCGTTTGATGAGCATAGCGGTCCTCAGAACCCACAAGGGGACCGGGACAGACAGCTCAACATCGCCACCGAATGTTCGTGCTCTCAGATGTGGCGCGTTCCCATGCGACCCCCCCAGAGTGGGGTTGAGAGTTGTAACGCTCCCGCACTGCCGTCATTGCAAACAGACACTCCTTGCACCAGCTGAGTATTTTCGCAGTTGAAGGGTTAACACAATTTAGATCTGCTCTCTTGATTCCGCAGCTCGCATAATGAAGACTGCTGCTCACCAGTCGGGACCACGTATTTTTTCGCTTTCTCTTGGCCAATTACACTGTTGTGACTAATTATTACCCATTGCAAAATAATAGCTCCCTGTTTATAAATGTAGTGTTTTTATGCATAGCGTTATCCCCACAATATCCATTTTGTACTATTTTATCACTGTGTGTGATTTCATCGGGCTCCACTATGTCAATATGCAGGGGGTCTCCACACAGGTTTCAGCCTTTAATAAAGAATTATAATTAGCCGTTTTGAGCCTGGTTCATAAAACTGTACAAGACAAAGATCCCCCGTATAGCCTTCAACAGACGGTTGGGGCAAGTGCTGTTAACGCGCATCTATGAAGGCCAGAACGGTACACGAGGGGGTGGGTGGCCAGCACCACGCCCGACCGCCTTTGTCTCCCCAGCGGCGATCTTAACACACCGCACCAGGTACTCATTTGAGGCTGAGTCGACCTAGAGGAGGCCCGGGACCACTGGAGATAATCATCACTGGTGTTGGCCATGAGTGGGAATCGGGCTCGCTAACTGCTACACTACCGCTCCCCCACTACACACACACTGGCTCGTGAGAATATCGTATGTTATGGATTCTCATCCATTCTAATCCTCCATGTGGCGGCCAGGGCGTTGGCGTTGCCACGTGATAGTCGCAGACTGTGGCCTCCCTGAGGTGCTTCTGTTACTTTGCCGGCGAAGGTCACCCGAGATGTTTTTTTTCGGTTTTAAAAACAAAAATTTGAGCGTATATTTAAAAAATTGCGGTGCCCCACAATATTTTGACGGCGCAGTTCAAACTGACGTCGAATTATTTCGCGGAGGACACCTGCATATACGGCCAACGTCGTTGGTTATTTTTTACCATTTGCTTAGAAACTGCGCACAAGTATCGTGTGTATATTGCGGAGCTGCGTGCCCGGCAGCCTGAGCTCGATTATCTGAACCGGTCCTGGGCCTCCCCTGAGTCGACTCAGCCTCAAATGAGTACCTGGTGTGGTGTGTAAACATTGCCACTGGGGAGACAAACGCGACTGGGCGTGGTGATGGCTACCCACCCTCTCGTGTGCCTTGCCGGCCTTCATAGGTGCTCGCGAACAGCAGTTGCCCCAACAGTCTGTTAAGGCTACGTGGGAGAGCTTTATTTGCATTCTCAATAATTTACTTCTGAATAATCACCTCTACTGCCTCCTTAGCTGTAGTTTGTTTAATGTGATAATGTTCATTGCAGACAACTACACACCAATGCATTCATTTGGCGAATCAATATATCTGTCCTAAGCCAGGTTCTTAAAGGGGTATTTATATATATATATATGATATCAAGATCCATTCAAATGTTTCATTTAGAAAGGAATCCATCCGGATTACTAGATTTACGTTTATGGCTGTGTTCATCTCGAGATCACAATGTGCTTAAACATACAGATTGAATTAAGTTCCAGGGCATCCTTCATCTGAATCTGTCGGAAGAGAGCGCCTCTTGCCCGGAGCTCTGCGCAGAGAATTGAGACCGCCGAGTTGTGTAGCCAGTCCCACATACGAGCCACAGAGCAGTGGCAGAGCATCATGCGTTTCCCCTAATTGTTTGTCAGTATCATACATTGTGATGCTATATCATTCGACATAGCGGAGCTACACAGTCCACAGTGCCGCACAATCTGTACTGTTATACAACCACGGCTATGCCCCCCCTCCCACTCACCTTCTCTAATATGTGTGCACCAACACGGTGAAGAAAAGTCAAATAACCACCACAAGCAAACACGGCATGGCTCTCATCCAGCAGTGGATTGGTACACGCAGTATAGCATTCACATATCTCAGCACACACAACCTGTATCGCCGTGTATATTTTCGCCGTTGTGATACTCAGTTCTACCGATGTGCTTGCAAAGTGTTGGGAGCGAAACATCGGACAGACGGCATCACAAACGCGCAAGCACAACCGAGAGCCAAATGTGTCGCTTTCACCAAAAACATGTTTAGGTTACACATGTGCTCCTTTTGCTTTTGCTACCTCCAGAACTGTTTAAATAAAAATAGATA